TTTCTAAAAATATGATAAAAAAAATGATTTTTTTTATATTTTAAATTAAAAATTGTACTATGTATTTACCCTTTTTAGGAAGTTTCTGTTAATTTGTAATTTTATTAATTTTATGATATAAATCACACTTAATAATCACAAGACTACAAATATTTTGTTATATTATTATTTTAAAATAGATAAATTAGTTGAATTAGATATAATATTACTACAAATTGTGTAAAATATATTTTTTTATTTTTAAGGCATGACAATATGTTGTTTATAAATAGCTTAATAATAATAACTACCTATATAATTATTTATGTACAATAACTATTATATGTTAATTTGTGTACGAGAATGCATTATTATTTATTTATGTGCATCTTGTGCATTGGAGAAAACCCATTTGCATTTTATACCGACAGGTTGGATAAACTTGAGAGATCGTTGGCAATGCTCGGCCCTCGTGGAAATACTACTGGAATGTGGCGCGAAAGGTAGACTGAGTGAATGTTTTTGAATGAAACACAACAAACACTAACTTGATATATCATTTTAATCTTTTGTTTCTTTCTTACTCATTTTTCATTAATGCTCTATTCATATTTTGTTTTTATATTACATTTATTTTAAAATTCTAACACTATTTTGCTGTGCTCTTAATGCCATACTATAGGTGTGCGTGCTATGAACAATTTAATACATTATGTTTTGTGCTCTTTAATAGATATGTACCAATTATCTTATATTAACAAACTCATATTTGAAAACACTTATTTAGCATTTTTGATTATATTTTCACATTAAGTTTAGGAATTTTGAATGGTAAGGTAACACTGTAGCGTACTGATTTATTTGTTAGTTTCAATAATACTACTCTAACATCACTGCATGAGTAGATTCTATTGTAATTTAATTTAAATTTACTATTAGTAATAACTATAAATTTTACCATTACTCTCATGTATAATACAATTATATTTATTATAATTGTGTTACACAGTTGTAAAATATTGACTTTATATATTTTATACTTTATCATTAATTATAAAATATATAACATCTAAATAAATCAATTATAAATAGATATGTACTATAATATTAACTAATAAATAATAATTAATGTTAAGTTAAATTGTGTAAGCTAAAAGTTTATTTATAAACTACTTTATAAATAAAATTGAATTTTGAAATTTATCTGTTTATATGACAATGTAAATAACAGCACTAATTTCAAATTTTATGTTTTTAACTTAAAATTTGAACGGCATTGGCATTTGTACAGAAAAAGCCGTTGGAAAAAGTAAGTTAAATAAAGTACACAATTAATATGTACTCTATAGATAGAGTTTTGTGTATTTTATTGTTGAATTAATAGAATGTGTTATAAAGTACAAATAGTTCCTTTAAAGTATTACTGACATTTTTAATTTTTGATTTTTTTAGCATGTTTGAATCATTTAGGGCATGAGTTGATCGTAGGGTATACCTAATAATCGTACTGACTTCAATAAGCACATTATATCTTAATTTTCTAGTGCACTGTTTTATTTATTTTTGTACATTCATTTTTTAAAGATAATATTAATTATTTAATTTTAATTTTAGTTTCTTAGTTAGTTTTTTGGTGGATGCTCGTGGAGGAGCAATGCGAGGATGCCGACAATCGGGTGTAAGAGTGATTATTCCACCACGAAAGGCACCAAGTCCTATGCGAGTTACATGTCGTTATTTGCGGAGAGACAAAATGGTTAACCCACCACCTTTGATGGAAGGAGAAGCATTAGCCAGTAGAATACTCGAACTTGGCCCAGCAGGAGCCAAATTTTTGGGGTATTTCTTGAGTTATAATTCTATATTTAAAATTTTTCACTGTTGTAATATTATTTTAATTTAAAATTTTAAACAGACCTGTCATCATTGAAGTACCTCATTTTGCGTCATTGCGAGGAAGAGAAAGAGAGCTAGTTGTGTTAAGGTCAGAAAATGGAACGACATGGAAGGAGCATAGTTTGGAAGCTAATGAAGAAGCTGTACAAGAGGTACTTAATGATAGCTTTGAAGGAGAAGAACTCAGGCAGATTGAAGACCTCAGAACTAGTCGCATAGAACGAATCCTGACATTAGATTTCCCTCAATATTTTGCTATTGTTTCAAGATTACGTCAAGAAATACATCCTGTTGGTCCAGAAGGTGGAGTTATGTCTTCTACTGTTGTACCGCAGGTGCAAGCATTATTTCCAACCAATGCATTAACAAAACGCATAAAAGTTGGCTTACAGGTATGATAAATTGATAACTCCTCATGATCATAATGTACATTTTTTATTACAATTATTTAGGCTCAACCTATTCCTGTTGAATTGGTAGCAAAATTGTTTGGTAACCGTGTTGCGGTGTCTCCTGTCGTTACCATTGAACCTCGTAGAAGAAAGTTTCATAAAGCAATTACTCTGACTATTCCTTTGCCCCAAGCCACTACTAAAGGAATGATAAACCAGTATTCAGGCGATGCTCCTACATTGAGATTGCTTTGCAGTATGTCAGGTTAGTAATCACCTAGGTACCTACAAGTTGTATTCTCTAGTTGGTTGGACTTAAAACCAAATATTACGTACCTACAGGCGGTCAGTCTAAAGCCCAGTGGGATGATGTTACCGGAGGAACACCATTAACTTTTGTCAAAGATTGTGTAACATTCACAACAACTTTATCTGCAAGGTTTTGGTTGATAGACTGCAGAAATGTTAGCCAAGTCAAAAACATTGCTACACAACTCTTCATTGAAGCTAACTATGTTCCATTCATGGCCAAGTAAATAATATAACAACAAACTCATTTAATTGTTTATTTTATCCATTTTATTATTGTTTGTTAGGTTTGTAGTGTTTGCTAAAAGAACAGATGTTATGGAGGCACGTCTTAGAGTATTTTGTATGACAGATGATAAAGAAGAAAAAACATTAGAAAACCAAGAGCACTTTGTGGAAGTAGCCAAAAGCAGAGATGTCGAAGTGCTACAAAATAAAAATATATTTGTGGAGTTTGCTGGCAATCTAGTACCTATATTTAAAACTGGTGAACAACTAGAATTAAATTTCACTGCTTTTCGTGAAAATCGTCTACCATTTACTGTTCGCATTCGTGACCTAGAAGATACTAATGTCGCTCGGATTCTGTTCATGCGTGAGCCCAAAGTAAATCGAGGTGATCCTGCTCAAACACCTTTATGTGTATTGAATGTGACCATTCCTGAAGATATTGTTAATGTAACTACCAAATCTGAATCAGATTTATTAAGCCTTGATCGAAGTTACAATTGTTATGATAATGGTTTTGGTATGTTATTGAACTGCATTTTTACTTCACAAATATATTATATACTAAATATAATTATTATTTCACAGAACAAATTGATACGATACGTAGGGCAGATATCCGTTTGTCTGATATTTCAAACATGCTTGGTGATAATTGGCCGTCTTTGGCAGTTGAACTAGGGATTCTTCAATCAGACATCAGTATTATCCAATCAGAATATCCTGGTAATACCCAACGACAGGCCATGGTCATGCTTAGGTTGTGGTTACAAACGTTTGGACAGCAAGCCACTGGGAATTCATTAGAAAAGGCATTGCGAACAATCAATCGCGAAGATATAGTGAATCTGTGCATACACAATATTGAGATTGTAACTGATGACATGGAGAAAGCAGTAGCGAAAGTACAATTAGATCAGTCTGGGTTTGATTCTCTAAAAGAGGAATTAGGGCCATCCAGAGATGGATCACTTGGTCGAAAAACTTCTACTTCTACTCATAAGGTATTTAATATTAATTGTTTGTTTTTTGTATTAACTGATAAAAATATTTTGTTATTAGAAGGTCAAACAAGTAGAATCAAATAATATTAATCAACCCATAAATGTTGACGAGGAGTTAATAAATGCTCTTAGCAAACAGATGGTAGTTGATAATGTTGTGGTTAAACCTAAAATTCTGGGTAAGTTGTTGAATGATTTATTGATATTATTTTTCTTTACATGTTAACATTTATTAATGCTTAACAGATGATAAATATGCTGCTGAAGTTAAAGAGTATGATTCAAAGACATCCAATGGAGTATCATTTAAAGTAAACACACCTCCACCAAGCCCAACTGAGCAATCTGACAAAACTGATAAAAGTAAACTTAATATAAAATTTATTTTTTAAAGCACAGAAAATTATTTTGAATATTTTTCATAGGTAAAGCTGCTTCAAATAGTTACGACAGTGATGTGTCTGAAGTAGTTGACGAGAACATTCTGTAACAAATGGGCTATCAAGTAATTAGGTAATTTATGTCTGTTTATTAGGATTGCATAACAAAAATGTAAGCTAATATTATGAGCTATTATTACTCATAAATTAAACTTTTTTTTGCTAATGCACAAGATTTAAAAAAAAATTAATGCTGATTGTTTTTTCTTTTCTTTATTTTTGTAGAAAACTATTTAACTATATTCTAACCAAGCTTAACTGCTTTATTATGTTTGTATCAAGTGACTACTTGATTTAAAAAATGGTTAAGTCATTTTTCTTTTCTTTTTTTAAAATTAGACCTATATGTATTTGCCTAAATATTGTATTTGCGTTGTTTACATTCTACAACTGGTTCGTGACCTTTTTTTACATCTAATTTGTTGTTATTATTTATACCTTAGGATTTATTTAATTTAATTCATTTTTGTTTTCTTTCTTGTCAATTTTTCATTTGTATACAAAGATTAAGTACTAAATTTTATTTAATTAATTTATTCGTGCATAATGAAATTCTAAATTATTTATATATATTATATAATATATATTTATACATAAAGATAAAAAAATAATATTGTAATTATTGTGTAGTATCCTGCTAGTATACTCGTATGTATTTTGTTGATAAATTATTTATTGTTTGGAAGACAATTGGGAACTCGACTGTCTTATGATAAGTAAAAATAAAATCTTAAAAAAATACACAATAAATAGTGAAGTTAAAATGATATTATGTTTTACATTGTGTGTGAGCGTTACATACGAAATAATATATATTGTTTCTTTTCATCCTAGGAAAATGTGAAAAGTGTTGGTTTCCACAACAAAATCTAGACCCTAGTCTATGAATACTTAGTGTCACATTTTCAATTTCAATAATTATTATTATAATAGTAGTAGTATTAACAATGATAATATTATGTACAGTCCTGCAGCGGTCAGTGATAGATTTGGCGGAGGATCAAACTGTGGCCGACCGCTTCAAAATTCCGCGTCCCAGCCCGACGATTCGTCTGGTGGCACGTCCCCGTCCTCGGGATAAATATCGAAATTCGATGAATCCAGCGGATTGTTGATCTGTATCACGAAAAAAAAACACGAAAAAAGACCATCGTAAATTAGTAAACAATGTAAGATATGTATCGGATACGTGAGCCACTTAGCCATATGGTGTTTGACCATCGCTGCAGCAGCAGACTTACGTGGGGTACGATGGGTGGAATTATGCTCTTGTTCCTCAAACCGGTCCAGTCGAAACCTTTGAACCATCTGTGGGTGAATTTATAAGAATAAAAATATATTTGCGGCCAAGCGGGAGGCAAATTCTTGTCAGTGTTCTTAGAACCTACCTACCGCCACCCATTGAAGGCGGAAAAAAGTCCAGAAAAAAATCTAACCGAAAAAAGTCCAAAAAAATAAACACTACATCACCGAAAAAAAGCCCACGAATATAAAAGTCTATGCTAGTGCCATAAAATTGTACTATTTTGTATTTTAAAATTATTTCGTTGATTTTAATTCGAAAAAGCATATACAATAATACTTAATAGTATATAATATAGATAGCAGATAATAATAATAAGTTAATAACTAATGGCCTAATGACTGATGTTACTAAGATGAATAGTAAAACAAAATAGTAGGTCCATTGGTGTGTATGCAGTCCTCTTGTATTAAACTTGAGCAACAAACTAATATTATAGATACTACCACCTGTTTTGTATTGACTTATTGTATTTTCTATTTTTATAGTTGTGTAATTTTTGTATAAATGTAGTATATTGACCAAAGGCTGATGTTTTTTGAGTGTAGGTTCTATATTATATATGTCATTACTCATTAAATACCTAATGACTCAATATAAAACAATATATAATTATAAATTATAACCTACGACACAATATATTATGTATACATATTTATATTTAAATTTGTTGGGACTTTTTTTCTGTTAGATTTTTTGGGGGTTTTTCTTCCTCGTTTTCTACTCATACTTTTTTCCAAGGTAGATTTAAAACGAAAGCAACAATCTAATTCATCAATTCTAAAGAATCCACTTACTCATGTCGTCTGATGTCTTGTATGCCACCCTTTTGATAGCCTATCCTTTCCGTTGGATCGCCTCTACACAGCTGTTTCACGAGACCTTGAGTCATTTTGTTCATTTGTCTCGGGAAGTTGACAGCGCCGATGCCTTTCAATATCGCGTTGTAGATGTCCATTGGATCTTTCCCGCTAAACGGAGGTCTATAAACCGACGAAAAACATTATATTGTATACATTATACTTCAACAACCTAAGCCTATGAAAATACATCAGTGGCGTGAATAGATGGGGAGGTAGGAAGTTGTATTTTTCTAGCACTAAAAATTAAAAAATTAAAAATATTCAACTAATGCAATAATAATATTATATAAGTGATAGAAACAGTTCTCTATAATTTTAAAATGTTATACATTTTAAATAAAACATAAATGCATAATAAAAGGTTCTTCTTATCTGAGAATCTCCAAAATATTTATTATAATAATATGTGAAATTGATGTATGTTACGGGTAAAGTTTGAAATAATTGGATACTGTACCTAAAGGAAACATTTACCAACATTTTAATATTAAATTAAAATAATATACCAATAAATATAAGAAGCAAACTAAGGTGAAATTTTGCATTGTGATCCAAAAAATTAGTGATTATACATTTTTGTTCTGTCTCGTGACCGATATTTTTTTGGCATTTATTTATAATTTTTTTTTGAAATATTTCATATTTTATAAAATTACAGATTTAATAATTTATTTTTCCATCATGTAAAAATATAATTAAACTTTAATCATCCGCTTTTACTCTTACCCCTTGATCTATAGCTTATCAACTAATGAGATTTCTGGTAATCTTCCAAGACGCCTAGACCGTAAATAGTGTAGATACTTGTTTAACTAATATAAATTAACTAATAATAAAAAAAGGTCACCTATGTAAGTTGCTTCTTTTGTGAAGTTGTTCTATGTATAATCAAACAATTTCAGTTAAATCAGGGGTCGGAAACCTTTTTACTTAACGTGGGCCATATTTTTATCAGATTTTCATTGATTGCCGCAACAAAATTAAAATAAACGTTATTAAAAATACAATTTTAGCATAAAATACTAGTATAATATATTTTATGGATATCTACATTCATATTATAAGTTTCACATTACACGTAGAGAAAATTTTAAAATTTAAAAAAATGTCTGTTAATCAATTCTTGAGTGCAAAAGGATTTAAATATTTTTAAATAAATAGTTCCTAGATTCTAATGTGATTTTTGATGTTGAATTTTTCTCCCTAATTCATTTATATCTGCTTTCATATTGGAACTTGGTATTCTTTAAACTGCGTTCAAATGTTTGTCGCTTAATCGTGAATAGTATTGATTTTTCGATATTTAACTAGGCATTGAAAATGTCTGCTCACAATAGATAAGTGCTACCCAAAGCAGTAATCATTTTTTAGCAAAACTTTTAATTTCTTTAACATATTAGCATAATAGTTGAGAACAATGTGAGATAAGATCATACCTTATATCCGTAAAAGTTAAATAGTTACGATTCGATTTTATTTATTTCGATTTAAGGTATAAAATAAAAATTTTAAATGCTGTGATGAATATTTGGAGGGAAAATAGTTTTGAGGGTTGCTGATGCCTGACTTAGATCATACCTATACACTTATGTGATTTTCTAATCTAATCATATCCCATATCCTACCATGTTTTTATGTTGGCTCTTTAGTTAGTACCTGTTATATTTTTATCGGTGTTTTTCCGTCATCCGTCCGTTTCATATTTTTTATAAGTTACTCTTTCAATTTACATTTTTTTTATCATTGTTTTTGTAGATGATTAGCGTTTAGGGTTACACGTCATTTTAATATTTTCAGAGCTCACTTAGTAATGATAAATCACTATTATTACAGTGAATATTTGTTTACATTTGTATACAATTTAAAATTATATCCCCGGATGCAAGTAACTGTCAATTTAAAAAAACTCTAATTGTAGGTAATTATTAAAACAAACCAAACAAAAAAACCCTAAAAACCAACCACATTTAAATATAGGTTTTTTAAAAACAATTTAATATAGGGTCTTGTTCCGGTATACCTTTACCGTGATTCTTGTCGGTTTGGTTATAGTCTTTAAAGTTTACAGTTACCTATCTATAGGCATGTTGTAACGCGTGGACAAGTCGTACTTACATTCCGGCCAGGAGCTCGTACACTAGTATTCCCAGAGCCCAAAAGTCTACTGCCCGGTCGTGGCCTTTGTTCAGTACAACTTCCGGGGCCACGTACTCGGGCGTACCACAGAACGTCCATGTCTTCTTGCCTCGCGGTTGTAGCCTTTTTGCAAAGCCGAAATCCACCTACCGACGAAAGAGAAAATTCTTAATTAAATTGTGCATATAATAAATATTAATAATTACATGAGGGGGTCTCGTTTGGACTAATAAAAAAAAAATATAATTAGTATTACTCGCCGTTGCAAATAAAAATATCAAGAAGATTCCATTATATGTGTATCTCCGTCTTACAAACGTAGAACATACCAACATTTGTGTTCAGCAGTTGTTCCAATTCTGTAATTGTGATGTAATTATAATATAGTGAATTGACCTATATTTTCAAACTTAATGATAAGATTATAAGAATATATTATCTTTGATTCTCGCGGGTATTTTACATGCTCATAACTTGCTTGAGAATTTAAGTATCGTAAAAAACACCCATGTTTTAGACAGATCAAATGTTCTTACCATTAAGTTTGATAATAAGTCAATTCACTCTGTATTCTTTAAAGCTAGAAATACAAAATTAGAACTGCTGAACACAAATTTGCTTTGTCATACGTTTGTAAGACAGAAATAACACAGGCGGGCAGGACTTTCTGCAGGAATTCGATACCACCAATTTGTTTACGAAAACATACCTATCGGTTATTGCATCCTATATTAGTTTATTATAGCATAAATATTTCTTAATAGAATGCCGTAACCACATTTGTAGTTACCGCTTTAGACGCCCTTAACTAATGCACACATGTAGAACACTTTACGTTCAGAATTACCCATTTTAATCTTTTATTTTTAATACTGGAGTAATTAGACTCAGATGTTTTAATTTATATACTTTGAAGTCGATCAGTACGAACTTACTTAATATAGGTACTGACGAACACCAACTTATTACCACCGGATGCCGAAGATCGCGATCGGCGTAATTGATGCATGTCCAATATATTATCATAATTACTATGACTTGGGAGAAAGTGATGTACTAACTTCTATAATTTACGAAGGTAGACCAGGAAGGGAGAAAAATATATTATTTTGTCACATACATTTTTCCTCCTTTACATTTTCACTTATAAACGTATTACTATATTATAACGTGGCTCAGAATTTTTCACAATGATATTGTTTAGGTACAACGAATTCATTAGGTCATTAATAGTCACTTAATCACAAGATGATGTAGTTGAATAATTGGTATACTGTATTATGTTTATACACGGTTAACAGTTAAACCAGTAACCACACAGATCTTACGGAATATGGTGACAGGAGCGCTATTAAGGCGGATTCACAGCTACGTCTCGTGTCTTGTCGTGCGTGGGCGTGGTAACTATATGGTTATAACTAGTAACCAATGGGGTTTGAAAGTTGAGCTGTATTCAATTCTTGGTAAACTCGGTTGGAACTTGGTTACAATACATGATACTAAAAAATTAATGCCCAATCACAATGCGATTTGATCAACACGACGTGACACGACGTAGCTGTGAATGCCAAAAACCTCTGCCGTGTGAAATGCTGAATTGGTAGGTACTTCCTAATTAATTTTATCGACCAGGTGATATGACAGGTTACCGCGAATTTGAAATATTCCAACACAAACGACGTTTACAGCGTTTACCAATATCTCGTGTAAAATAACCGTAACCATTATCATAATAATGTACCAAATCCAGATTACCAAAACTACGAAAAATGTCACACGACGTGTCGCTACATGGAAATATAGTTATGGAATAGTGCCTCATAAGTAGGTACTTAATATAAAATAAGTACTTTGAAGAGAGGAGAGGTTCACAACTCGTCATATCGGTTCGTGTCGTGTAAATACTTTTTACTTTTCTTGGCTTACCAAAATGTGGTTGTAAAAAACGTAATTCTAACCCCGTGAAGTTGAATATATTAAACTGTTGGCAGTGTGACTACATACTGCTTAGTCTGTTCACTGGTTAGATAATATTGGCGATACTATCAATATTATATTAGTAGCTATATTTATTATTTTTGTTTGTTAGATTCAAATATTATTTCGGAATTTACTGGGCACGGTGATCGTGAACCTCCCTTAAGCCCCATGCACGTTACCGAGTTAGTGCGACTTAGTGGTAAATAGTAAAATTATATATTTGATTTCAAAACCGACCAGTTTCACAAAACCCTGCTGGTCGAGCAACAGGTTTTCCGGCTTCAGGTCTCTGTAGACGACGTCGGCTCCGTGCAAATAGTCCAGTGCCTCTACAACGCACGCGATCACGAAACACGCGGCGTTGTCGTCGAAACACCTCCGGTCCCGGAGGAGCGTCCACACTTCGCCGCCCAGACAAGCCTCCATCAGCATGTATACGTATCTGTTGTCCTTGTACGTCTGGTAAAGTCTAAGGAAAACGATCGACATATTAATGCCATCATTAAATAAATTACAGTTGTATAGGTAAAGAAATTTCGAAAACTGCTCTACAAGATTATTAACAAGAAAGTTCACTTCTTGCGCAATGTTCAAAACGTGATATAATATATAGGTAGTTAATGAAAGTTTATTGAAAATTGTTAGGTCTGTAGCATAGTAAGTTGTTCGATTAGCATTTTCTATACTCAACGAAATATTATTTTACATCTACATTAGGCTCTGAAAACAGTAGGTACCTACCTATATAATTAAATTCCACTTCATTATGCAAAAGCTATACATATCAAATTTTATCGAAATGCGCAAAACATATTATTGTCATTTGCTTGAAATTATAAAAATAATCTGTAAAGATTTCTGACGAAAATCCAAAAATACACAATCGCATCTACATTTATAACGTTTCAGATGTAGGACGTGTTAATACAATAAAAAACATACTATTTTAATGCATTGCACATTAGTACATTAATATACTCACTTGCCGATAAACGGGCTCGTACATGACTCCAAAATGGTTTTCTCGTTGTACACGTGCTCCTGTTGCTGCATGTCCACGATATGTTGTTTTTTCAGTTTCTTCATCGCGTAAGATCGGTTTTTGTCTAGTTTCAGACACACTAAATCGACCCTACCGAAGCCGCCGACGCCGATGGTGGCGACCGTCTCGAAATCGGTCAGCTCCACGCGGAACAGCTCCGGGTAAAATGTTTCTGCAAAACGGAGTTTATATTAAGTACCTACTACCTATATACTCAGAGATAGAAATATTGCACTTATATTTTCTTAGTCGATGTTGGTGATTTTTAGTTTAAAAAAAAATGTTTTAATATTAAATGTATCGAAGGTAGTTTAAAAATATTTATAACACTGCATATTACAATATTTGAAAAAGAAATAATAACACAATTTTAAGTTTTTTTTTTATCATGATGGTCTATAGGTTTCCTAATTTTTTTATCAATAATTATAGGTCATCAATAATCAATGTATTTTAGATTTTTATGCAACTGCAGTGATTTGTATACTTGCATACGCATATCGTTACATATATCTGAAGTATTAAAGAACAATAATAACTAATTAGTACTTACTCGTCTTGATTTCTACCGGTGACTGGACTGAGGGCTTTCGCGGAAGTTCTGTGTACTTTTTGTTTTTTAGTTCCTCCAGATTGCCGATGAAATGCACAAAAGGCCTATTCACACAGAAAACTTATTTTGTTATTTTCTATACATATTTTTATAGGTTTTTATAAATTGTAATGCATAGTGAATATATTGTTATATAATATATTATTTTATTATTTCTCTGTAAGCCGTCAAATCGTTATTACAATCTATAAAAACGTAAAGACCCAAAGTGCAGTTATAATAATAGAAATAATCAATCATATTTTTAGTTTAAAAAAAGATAAGTCTATTAACTCTCTGTCCAGCGTGAGACATTCAGCTCCCGGATGCATGGCTACAACGTTAGCAGTTCTCTTGTCTTTTTTTAACAGCGCCACTTCCCCGAAAAACTCTCCTTGTTCCAATATTCCGAATTCTTCTTCTTCGTCTTCACCTGAAAATTATTACTCTTAATTTTGTCTTGGACTTTTTGCTGAGTGAACTGGTACACAATAGAAGTTATAACGTACCTATTTGTAATTATATCGATACCCACACCTGTAACGGTGCTTATTTATTGTAATGAACCTGAACTGCAGATATAAGGACCGGCATTAGAATCGGATATTTTCGAATAGAACCATGAACCCTCTTGATAAATAATTTATGTTTTTTTCATTTATAGTACGAATGTAATATCGATTTATAATTACAACGATATTATATGTCTTGTGGGGAAATTAAACGAGTAATTCGGTTATTGTGGTTAAGGAGGACAACCACCCCAATCCCCACAAAACAAATCTTGAATTACTTTTAACTTTATTAAAGGCATTTAGGCCACAGTCCACAGACCGTATTGGCACTGTGGTTACATATAATATTTACGGCGTGTTTAAGTAGAGTTTATCTTGTATTAGTGTCCATGTATTCGATTAATATTAATTTATAAAATGTTTATAATACAACACTTTAAGTGACGTAACGGACTAACCTTTATTGGTCTTCGTGACTTTCACTCGCCCTTCGCTCAGTATGTAGAACTTATCACCCAGAGTGTCCTGTTTTATGATGTAGTGCCCTTCCGGATAAAATTCCTGCAGAAATGGTTTCAGGTTTATGAGAAAATTACGGTCGTTAATTAAGTGAGTATTCAATGTCCAGCATGTGTTATTACACGAATTCCTGGGTACCTTCCTGCTATATATATATATGTATTAAACTCGTTTTGAAAACTTTCAAAAATGTCAAATGCGTTGAGTCTGACATAAATTTCAGTGTGCATTGTACAAGTTATACGCTAAAAGGTCGTTAGGGTTCCGACCTTTTGTTAAGGCATGAGTAAATCTCGAAGTTTGTTTTTATCTGTGTGTGTGTATATATATATACCAATATAATACCTTCTATATATTATACTTGTTACTTAAAATAGTTTTCGCTAGGTATGCAAATGGGTTCCTAAGTAATTTATTATTATATAATATTTTTTTTGGAAACGACTCATAGAATTGAAAAAATAATCATGTTGTATACATTTAAGATTTAAAAATTTATATTAATTAGTTAACAAAATGTATTACTAGGATATGACGTATTGAGGTCCATTAAAACAAATATTGACTTCTTATAATATGATTTTCATCATTGAGTGACGTACCTCTTTCAAGACGTCAGCAATTTTCGATAAAAACTCTTCATTAAGATCCTTCATTAACGGTACGCTTTTCAAAAACCCCACTCGTTCGTCAAACCGCCTCATAGCAGAAGTCTTCATGATTTGTTGGTATGCCACTCTTTCCAAAGTCCACACCTTGACATCTTGGACGGCTAGAAACAAATACATAAGCATAGAAATCATAGAAGTTAAAAACCGCAAAATACGTGTAATATTAAAATATAATCGTTTCGGATAAGTCGTGAACGTCGCCTACTCACTAACCTCTCACCGACGCGGTACGCGGACAGTTATAGAGTATGGCCATCTCGCCGAACACTTCGCCAGGTCCGATGGAATCGACCACCCGTCCGCTCTGAATGACGTCGAGCTTTCCTTCGTCGGCCACGTACAAACAACACCCTGCAGTATTATAATTATGGCGTTTAAACTTTATTTTTAACCGTTTCAAAAACGATACAAGTCCAAAAACAATTTGAAGTTTTCTCGTTAAACAAATGTACAAATTGTATGAACGCTATCCGTACCGGGATCGCCTTTCCTGATGACGTATGACCCAGCTTCGAAGTCTTTCGTGTACATGACGTCCACAATCTCGGAAATCTGATTGGTGTTGAGGTTTTTCAGAAACTGATTCTTGCACAGCGCCTGTTTGATCAGATGCTTGGTCCTGAAATCAGCATCCGGTACGAAACGTGACCGCGTGTGTATAGGTAAATAAAATAATATTATTCTTTGTTATGATAAGAAATTAAAAATAACAACGTCATCGTACTTGATGGGTTTGGACTGTTTGAGAATCGGCATCGGGGCTTCCGTCGAAGTCGAACATTCTCCCGACACCCCTTTCTTTTTGTCCAGCCGGTGCGGCGGCGCTTGCGGCGATGGCAATATAAATTGATTTGATGCCGCGTTCTCGAGCATGTTCTACTCAAACAAAATCCAAATAAACATGAATGTATGATAAGTACCCACTAATTTTAATAATTTACGATGATACTGCCACGACACTAATATAGACAGAGGCAGTCCGTATACTAGCCTACATAATTACTACATGGTGCTCACACATCATTATGGCAATTAAATAAAATGTAACATAATAAATGACCAGACTGTTGCACGTAGAAATCAGAAATCTCCTAGTCCCCACTAAAACCGTAGTCACAGATAATGGTAAAGCGTAGAGCGCGTAGCTTTCTTAGATGCCGCCAGAGAAAAGGGTATGGTAAAAAAAAGGTCTTTGTCACAGAAGAAAAATCTACCTCTTGGATGCGCAATATAATCCTTTGATGAAGTCGCCTACCATTCTCTGGTCAGCATGACCGTGTTGTCCCTTAAAAAGTGAATGCGCACCATCTAACACAGTAACAAGTAACAACCTCTACAACGAATCTATACCTACTCTCTATACCGAAACTCCTTAAAACGGGCAATAATCAGTGTGTTGTATTATTTTAATTCGAGTATTTTGAGTGATTAATTTGTGTCGCCTAAAACTTCTACAGCATAACTCAGAGACAGCTGCGAGTCAGGTAAGACATTTAATATAAAATATATTATTATTGACTGCATTATATTACGTTATATGCACTTATCACATACACTTAAATTGTGCGGTGTATTTGATCAAATTCTCGAATACACGACTTCGAAATCCCTCCAAACACCTGTAGGAAGATAATTCTAATATTTGCATTTGGTTTTATTCTCTAGCACATATAAGTGTAGAGAATCATACAGATACTTAAATTTAACATCAGATTTTAATAATATAATTATAGACAGATGCCTTATTTATATTTATTTTATTTTTGCGTTATTACATATATTTTTTATATTTCAAAATGTATTTTATTCGCCTTTTCGTTTAAGATTTGAGGCAATTGCCTCAATAAAACATTCATCGCCACTGTACTTCATACCAGCGTTTGCTCTGTAGAGGCCGTCCACTTATTTTGCGAGTGAATTGTGGATAGTAACGTGGCTCTCTAATACGTCACTATTTTAGTATTTTCTATACTTTAAATAAATCTACCTATACGTAATTATCCCAGACATCACCCAAGTCACGTAGAATGTAGATAACACATAATATTATTATGCAACTCGATTAACTTTTGTGCAGCTGATAACATATTATATGACCCACAGTTCAAATTTATTTCGTTTTGTGTGCGTATAGCATCGTGGTTTCTTTCGTAATTTCGGTTGGGGGAGATAATTCCCCTCCCCCTACCATACACACGACACTTGTATAACAATAATATAACGGGATGGAAACGGCAAGCTGTCCCATATAGCTCACCCACTGTTTTCGACGCCACCGACGTCAGACGCTGTCGCATACATTTTTAACACGTTATGGGATCTCATTATCTCCCGGCACCCAACTCGGTGATAATCGGAGGCTTTATGCCCAAGTAGGTCAATAGCTGCAGCAGTAGATAATAATATACGCACCGGTACAGGAAGCTTTTTTGTGTCACATACTCATATACCACTAATCATTACTAAACATTAAAGTGGCAACCGGGTGTATATGTACAAGATATACGTCATACAAGTGGATAAGACACTGCAACATCATATTATAATAAATAAAAATACAATACTGTTCGCCGATAATTGTACATGCGTGGATAAACTGTATATAGTAGGTATATACACTATATTATGTTATTATATTTTAATCATTACACCGTATTTTCGATTTTATAACAATTATTTTATATTCACATATTCGTGATTGACAAGACTCGGTATTGTACTATTATATCTGTATATGATAGCCTGTGGGTACGTAACATACACACGGTGCTTCAATGAGCCAAAACACCACTAGTCCCACACCTGAAAAGAGAAATAATTAAAGCCTGCGCAGTGTTAGCTGCAGTGTACCCCGAGTCAGAAGTATACAGTATTATGATTAACATATAAAAATACTTTTCTTATAGGAAAAGTGGCTCTCTGCGTTTTAGTTTATACGAGGTCAGCATGTGTATTGTGTATAATAATCGTTCTTATTTACTACTCGCGTGCGTATAAAATATTATTCGTGTTTTGACAATATTTTTTATAATCAAACGAAATAAAAGAAAACTGCCTTGCCAATCGATTTTAGTTCCTACTCGAAACGTGCGCCATTCATGTAAAGTGTGGCGTACACAACGCAAGTACCCACTACCCACATTAACCATAATGGCCGTTCTAAAAATAAATGCGTTTTATATTCATCGGCGGATTAGATATTAAGACAATCAAGACCGCGTTCTCCAATTTGTGGTTTGAATAAAAATGTCTTCATGGCCTATCCAAAACAGTTTATTAGCTTATGGTCAATCTCAGATATGATCGCGGCCCACCTCGAGTGCAAATTTACGAATCCAGTACGATGAGTATACTATAGACGTACACAAACGATGATCTAGATAATGTTTGTCGCGTTCAATAAAATATAAGCTGCACAGGCGATCGCACCGCGGAGATCAAATATTTGTATGCAGATCGACGCAGCAATCGTCATCACGTCGGGCATACCACTGCAGCAGCTGGGTGGGTGGTGGGTTCGCGTGGCAGTAGCACGGAAACCCGGTGCACGATCGGAGGTATAATATTGTTACGATATCAGACTCACGCGTATGTCTTCGACGGCCCTGGCCAGCTGTTCGACGGTCCTGTCCTTTTCGTCCATGGCCGCTTTGAGGCGCTCCACGTCTCGGGTCAGTTCGCTCACGGCGGCGGCGGTGGCGGCGCCGGCGGTGGAGGTGGTGGTCATCTTCAGGTCGGATACGTCACTGCGGGTCGACTCGGTCGCTTTTCGGCCGCCTCCGACGCCGCCGCCGCCGCCGCCGCCACCACCGGAAATCGCGTTGCCCATGAACAACAGCAGCGCGTGGCACATACCGCAGTCCTCCTATATTATTATTATTTCGATTATAATAATAATATATTGTTCTACCTGCGGGTCGCCGGCTGTTCGTCCGACTTGTATAATTGTGCTCGCGCGACCTGGTTACCCCGGTATATAATGACGTATGTACCCGGCCGGCGGACGGTTATGGTTCGCGTTCAACGATATTATACCACAGTCGCGGTCGTCGTCGTCGTCGTCGTCGTCGTCGTGCTACGACACTCTTCGCCATATACACTCCGCCGCACTACACAACGCTGCAACTGGTCTGGACTCGATGCGGGTGCACCGCGGCCGCGGCCGTCCATCAGTCGGTCGGCCTTGCGACGTGTACCCACCGAGTGTGTATAAATAATTATAAAACGTCGTAAAATAATTATTATCGCTGGCGCCGTTATCGTGGTCGTCCCCTATATATATATATATATATATGCGTATACGAGCACTTATTCGTATATATTATTATTATGTTGTGTTAAAATACGTGCGCATTGCCACTGGTTTTTTTTTTAAATTTTAATAATTGGGTCACAGACCGCCCACGAACACACGATATTATAATAGTGTTGTACAGGGTCTTTTGAAATTGTGTGCGTGCGATAGCGCCGAAACCCAACGTAATCACTTCCGTGGGGTATTTCTATCACGCGAATCGTCTGAATGCGACCCTGTGGGTAAATGCTGCACACCTTACGCAATAATAAAAATATTAAACATTTGCCGCATATGTACGACAATATACAATAATATTACGTACAGTACATATACCGCATAGCGATATTACACTTTTATTTACAATCGTTTATTCTGTTTTCTACAATTTTTACGCGCATACGCCGTGAAAAATATGGTCACCCAAGTCGCCATTCCTACTGCTCACCTCCACTGCCGTCTGAGGCCCAATGGCACGGTGAAAACGATATTCCGACGACGTGGATTTTGCTCACCGACCATTTGTCTATTGTGCTTATGTGCATGTATATGAACATTATGAACATTATACTTTACACATTTTTTACTCGAAAACGATCGTCGTTTATGTTGTTGTTGTTGTTGTTGGTATATTTTATTATTATTACACGAGCTCGGGCACCGCGAAGACGCTAATCTGTCCATAAATAATTTAGGCAAGTGCGTATAGGTTTTACACAACTGCAGCTGCAGGAAGGTGTGTTTTCGTTTTCGTTTTATTATTGTTATTGTTATTGTAAAATATTGGATTTTGTGCGGGACTCTAATCTCTGTTCAAGTTGTGTACAACTGCAGACACCGGCGAAGGAGTTTGTGAAAAAAGAGTGCATGGTATATCATGGTAGCTCAGTTAGCTTAAAAATTAGAGTGAATTGATCTCTTATTAAAATTAAAGGTAAGATTATTACGAAGGGCTTCTCATGGGCTTTTTATTATATTTTAATTTTAAAGAGAGTTATGAGTATTTAAAAATTGTAAATTGTTTGTAGAACTTAAAATATTTCTAAATCTTTTTAAAATTAAAATATAATAAAAAGCTCATGAGAAGCCCTTCGTAATAATCTTACCTTTAATTTTAATAAGAGGTCAATTCACTCTAATTTTTAAGCTAACTGAGCTAAACGTGATTTGCTGAACGTAAAATTTGATATGTTACGCTCTTGTAAGACGGAGACAACACATGCGGGTATAGCGTCCTCTTAAAATGATATTATGTAATTATTTCCAGAAAAGTTAATGGATTTTGAAACAATGTGTTAAAACTAATAAAACGTTAAATGGATCACCCGGTACATGTAGAACCTTAAATATATATTGCAGATATATACAGGTATATTATATAGGCCGCGTCAGTGGCGTATATACGAATTATTTTCACTATGGGCCGATTTATCAATTATCACTAGTCAAGCAGCATAGCCATAATTATACATTTTTAAGGGAGCAGCTGTTATATAATTAAGAATTATGACGTATTATACAGTTCAAATAAAAATTGCGCAATTCAATTTTATAATTATTATGTAAAATTAATTTTTTGTTTCTTTTTTTAAAAATATTGACAGTGTCGTTTGTATATTTTAATGTTATCTTACTATGAATTTAACATCAAAGTCAATAAGTCATTAAAGCAAGTCTCGTCAATATATCTAACATTTTCTTGTAGATTACTCAAAAATGATTTTAATCAACCGGCTAACAAAATCATAGTGAAAAACTGTAAACAGTGTAAATATACATGAAATGCTTTAATTGAACCTGCAATTTCACTATGGGCTCTGGCCTAGGGGGCCTCCCCCCTATATACGCCACTGGGCCGCGTGTATGTTATAATACGCAATATTAAAATATATTATTAACATAATTGTAATGCATTATACAATAGTACAATACCAGGTTTTATATTATGTATAAATTCGTAAATGCAATGACTCATCGTTTCATAATCCGGACGAGTCTTCAATTTAATTCAGTTTTTTTTATGAAAGGAACATCATTTTTTGAAGTAAAAATTCTCACAATAGTCTCCCCCCACCGTATACAAGCTTATGACCTATCTATTGGTTATTATAAAATAATATATGTCAACGGCCCTTTGTTCGACTCATCCGGATAGTAAGCAATTATTATTATTATTATATAATGAGAGTAACAGCTGTATTCTTGTAATCAGTATACTCATCGCAGGTTACCTAAATCAAAACTGTATTCAAATCATTGTGTTATTAATACATCTTCTTGTACTGTTCTCGTTCTTCACAAAGTATTTTTTTTTTAGTCAACGAGTTTTCTTTATTTATACAATAGATATTCATTGATCCATGTTAAAATTGTACATTTGTTTAGCTAATTGCTATGATCCATTAATGTAATGATTCAAAATAATTATCTCATATTTAATACCAAATAATAATTATGCGATTGTGTCACATGCGTTAAAGTAAATACGAATTTAACATTTATCAAATATCAATTGACATAATAATTATAAAATAATATTATCCTTTTTGTTATTTATTGCTGTTATTAATAATGTATCCTATTAATTTATAATATTTCGAGGGAGAATCAAATTTGCATATTAAGTTAATTGCAGAAAAGAAGCTATTAGTTTATTGATATTGAATTGATTTGATAATATTCAGTTTTAATCGTATAACATTTTTTTGCGTCTGTACTAAAACGTTTTTTAAATATTTTACTGCGACTTTATACTGCGGTTTTTATTTGCAGGTTTTGAATTCAAAGTTTGAGAACCATGATTAAAGAAAATTTTAAATAATTACTGTACTATATAATCATAGAAGACAACACGTGGGGTTGGAAAATAGTTAAAATAAAAACCAGTATTACAGTATACAGATATAGCCTAAATGAAGAACAAATAAGAATATAGTGGTGTTCATCCAAAGACACACCGCTGGAAGTATGACATTCATCACACGTCACATAATATATCACACGGTCGATGGACTATAAAACGTCATCCGGTTCCGTTAGCGGGATTATAAATATAAAATATACGGGACAAATCACCGGAAGTTTACATTTCACTTATGCCAGGGGCCGTACAATAGAGTACACACACCTCCGTGAAGATAGCTTTTGAATCATTATGATACTATGGTTCTGACCATGTCATCAGGCCAGACTAAAATAGCACACATGCGAAACATATAAAGATACACTGCAGGATGATTCACCATGCTCACATCCCTTTTTCTTTACTTGCGTAGTTATTATTTAAAATCTAATTTTTGGAATTTTTTATAGTAGGTATAGTAGGTATACCATATTTTAGTATAGACCATAATTCCGAAAACCTACTTCAGATTTTTGTACTGTTAAAACTATTAAGTAGATGATTTAAAAAAAACATTTGATGTGATTAGCCGATTAATTTCAGATAATATTAATATATTAAATGTACTAAGGTTTAACGATAATAGGTATGCTGATACATTCATAACATACAATATTATATTATGCAATGTTTACGAAAACATTTAAATAAGATACTTGTTAAACAGAAAGGATAAGGTATTGTTTGCTTTTTAATTGATTAACAAATTAAAGTAGGTGAGCTATATTAATATACATCAGCATCTTATAATTCTTTGTAATTGTCTAAATAACAGCTCGTAGCTAATATGAACATGATAAATATTAAATTTATATCTATTTTAATTGTATGTAATAATATACAACCATAGCCGGGCGTCCGGCTAGTAACATGGACTATAATCCTTAGTGCATAAAGTAAACTACTCGTTCGAATAATAATTTAGATGGGTCCATCAACATTTTCAAAAAAATGTCAGTTGAATAATTTAAAGTAAAAAAGGGTGATTTTGATTTAAAAAATAGACATTTGTTGCCACAGAATACTTTGATTGTTCAAAAAATATCAAATATTTGAAAACAAGGTCATCAATTGTATTTAAAAAATCCAAAAATCAGATTTTGAATATAACTTATTCATTATTAAAGAAAAATAAGGGTGATAATTCTTCGATGATCACTCTATATAGTAGACTTTAATCATTGTTATATTGATGCGTAGGTGATAGAGACTAGGGATATTAATTTGTATTAATACTTTTGAATTGTATAACATAAAATATGGTTATAATTAATAATAATGTATTAACGTGTATAACGTAAATACTACATGAACCGCAGCCTATCAAATTATAAAAATCCCTTGGTTATATAAGTATAGATACCGGATTCTAGTTTGTATGTTTATTAATTAGGTGTCAATGAACATAGAATATTGTATAGGTATAAATCGTTGTAAAGAACCCGGAGTAAAAAATTTAATTATAATTTTTTTTTTTTATTCATGGTATAGCTTCAACTGCTAAGGTTATTAGCTTGCAACAAAAAATGCGAGCATTTGGTTACATTATATAGAGAAACAATAGTTTGTATACATTAATTTGTTTTTGGTTGCAAAATTATAATTTACCATCATCAAAATAATAATATATTTAAAAAAAAATCCGGTATTTAATACCTTGTAGGTATAACAATAATATTTATAATTTTAAAATAATTTATTAAAAAAAAATTCAATCATTATTATGTTTATTTAGGTCTTGCTCTAATATTATGACCAACTTTTTTTAAAAATTCTTTTGTTGTAATTGAATTTATTCTTTGGCATAAAGTAACCAGTCAGAATAGTCAGATTTGTGTTGAATTTCGTTTTTATTACCAGTTCACCCATGCTGTCGATAGCTGATTTCGCCCTATCTGCCGCTATTTCCAAATTCCAATTTCATTTTGTAGATAAGGGTCCAAACAGTTGGATGACTGTGGCCAACTAAATGACTAAATCTGTTATTCTACGATTTACATACATTATTAATTCGGTGGTCACCATTAATCGTTGTTTTATGTACCGGACTTTTTCATTACAAACTTTTTATGTTTCGGACTTTTTTACCGTTGACTTTATGTACCTTGTAGGTACTTCCTAACCACAGATTTTTTATGCCTCGAACTTTTCAACCATGGACTTTTTTTCTAGGACTTTTTTACCTCCGAATTGTTGGTACTATATCTATGGGTATCACTCCATTAATATTTGATCATCGTACACGAATATATGAAAATAGCAAATGGATACAATAATAGTATGCTATATTATATAATCACTATGGTAGCCACTACTTGGTACCTAGGAGACGTTTATTCAAAATATAAATGCATAAAATTATTACAAAGATTATTCTTTATATAGGTAGAAGTATGTATCGCACATTTGTTTTATTAACTTACTATTGTAATATTCTTGTTTTGATTTAATCATGTCGGGGCGAATAAATCCGTGTTCTAGATGTTTAATCGAAAATTGTATAATTTCAAAAGTAGATGACGATCCTAGGGATGAAATAATAGACAACGTGAGAAATTTCTCATTATTAATATTATAGTCGTGTGATTATCGTATCGTCTATACACGATATCACTTAAACGCAGTTATAAACGTATACACGATTATTATAGACGATCATTTCACAAGCGGAAGACAAAACCAAAAGATTGCTACAACTGTATTTAAAAAAAAAAAAAGAGTATTTGTCCAGTTTGGCAACGAAGAAATGTATACAAACGTCTACAACTACGAAACCAATAGTTTACAAGTTAGTTTTAAGTATTATAATTGCATGTTTATGTTATATGAAACACTTTTATAGTGGCGCCAAAGTTTAAATTAAGTTTAAATTGTTTACGCCTGGTTGTAAAGGATCGTACACGATGTAAAATATATTCAAAATTGATCTCCAAGATCAATATTTTAGAAAACCTATCAGCTCAGCTGTAGAATACTTATATATATTAATAATATATTATAATAGCTGAGAGATAGCTGTACTTTATTACGTGTATCATAGACCTAACCTAACTTAATCTTACCTAACCTGACGATTATCAAATCAAAATCAAGTTTTTATCAGTACTGAAAAGTCGTAAATATTTCGGGTCGAAAAATCGAATTTAGATGTCAGCTTTATCGATAAGCTATCGTCATACACTATTAAGTGTATGCTTCACACAAAGCGGTTAAAGCAAGAGCGATTATATTTTATTATACACCTAATCCATACTATAATATTATATTACAATAATGAAATTAGAGAAATTTTTCCTCCTTATACGTACCTTTTTTTTACCGTGTAAGAACTTACACATCTTAATTTTGTATTCATGTAGGACAATTTAGTGGCGTGGTGAGGGGGTTTTTCAGTTACTTCGACCCCTGTATGTTAATTATGTGGGTAGGTACTGTGTGTCATATTAAAAATTGGAGTAAAGGTAAAGCTATTTAATTAAGTAATAATTAGTACATAATAGGTATAAGTAACGCAGTTGAATATGAATTTTGTGGGTTGGTGGGTTGGAGTTCTGTATTAAATGGTCCCTGCTCAAAAAGTAGTTTGCCACGCCACTGTCTAACAGTCAATAATATTTAGACGGTGGTGTCTTTAACAGGTATCGTTTGAACCTTTTACGCAGCAGTTTACGATACGAGGACAGACGGCTGTCATATTAAACGCTTAGTAGAGATTAAACCATACATCCGTCATCAGATTTTATTCGGGGATTAGGTTATTACTTAATGATACCGGAGGTCCGGATTTTTATTGAACGCAAAGAGGCAATAAAAGGAGATTTAGTTTTGTTAGTTTTTATGTTTCAACTATTGCTCACCAAAACTCTGATTCGTGTTCGTATATAATATGATATTAATAATATATTATATAATATTATGTGAGCGATTTCGTAACATTTCCGTGACAAAATTGATCTGTCATTATTATATTATAGATGTCATTATTATACTGTGTCATTATTGTAGCATAGGTCCCATGGGACGTTTAAAGGGTTTGGTATTATCCACGAGCGATGATTGAGTGGGGCCATGTCACAACTTCTAGGGATTTCCTCCATTATTGGTAAATTATCGGAGTTATTTATTGTTAACGCGGACTGTGAATGTGCGGTTTTCTGCTTTGGATTTATTGTAACAGGTACCCTATAACGCCCGAAATAATATATTATTCTTGTAAAACGAAACGACACAGAACGAAACCACGTTTCTCTGAGTACCTAATAAATTGTGATTTCACAAAACTTTTTGTTTGAACACGGAATTTGTTTGTTACGGTTTTTTTAATTACAAATCAAGTGAACAACACGTATACGTACGGATCACTGCAGTCTCGATTATAGAGTTTTAAATTTTAAATTTTATGATCTTGAAGTATAATATTTATTATGAGGGCAATTTTTTACAAATTATAACTTTAGAAGTAGCATAACTTTAATGCCCTATCTCCACATTAACGATTTCTGATTATCAACTCTGTATAAATTGGAGAGTAAAAAATAGACTGTTGTCCTTTGCTGCATTTATACTAAAAATCCACCCTCGGCATAATTTAAGTATTATCTGATCCTCCCTTAGTATTCATCATACACTCATACCTATCTGTTTTCCACCTATTTGTTGCCGACTTCTCTTTCGTCACATCGCTTTTTGATGATTCTCTTTGGGTGTCTCTGACACACTTCTCTATAATCTGTATTATTTTTCCATGTACCCTCCCACAACAATAGCAATCATTGTCTACTTCAATGGTCTAACCATTGCTACCCCCTCCCTTTAAGGGGTTCAACCAACCATCGTGATCATTTGCACAGCGTGTTCGTCATCTCAATTCGGCTTACTCTAAGTCACATTCCACCTCCATATTAATTGTTTTCACGGTTTAGTCTTAAGTATTCGATTTGAACTTTTAACAATCACGATACTGCAGTTTTTTATAAATTTTTTTTTTTTATAAATCTGTACCCACATTAATGCCTATAAAGTTGAAAATAAAATAAAATAAAATAAAAAAATAACCTTGTCTATATCTTTTACATCAGTTTTTGATTATACATGATTATTGAAATGATGAAAATACATATTTACCCCAACTACGTAACAACTATAATAAGTAATAATTAATTAGAGTGCCACTGCTGTATCCCATAATTTATGGTACAAAAAATATTGATAGTTTGCATATGTATTTTGTTCAATGATTGTTATGGATTTTTTTTAATAAATCATTTAGATTGAACAATAATAACATGCAAAAAAGGTCGTGGAATACCAACAGATTAAACGAATTATCTAAGCCCAGAATCGATTATTACGAATACACGTAAGTACATGGCTGATATAATATTTTCTAGGTGCAATAGACGTAATATATTATTACATATTACGGGTACAATAGAGATATATTAGAAATCCCAATATTAAAATGATTAAAATCTGTCTATAGAATAAAATAGTATTTTTTGAATAAATTAGTTTCCAAAACCATAAAATAATATAATTTAACAATTATCTGTTCTATAAAATGCATTGAGCTAAGTGTGTAACGACTAAAACATTGGTTTTAAAGAAATAAAAACCCTCGTATTGAATATTTTATCATATTTATAGGTTCAAGTGGATACTACACTAATAATTATTGTAAGTTGTATAAAGCTGTAGTATAATAGTAAGACCACAACGGAAAGAAATTTGAAACGAAATGTAATTTTTAAAAAAGATAATTATGACTGGTATATTTTAGTGGCTTAAGTATATAAAAATATTATTCAACAAACATAAGCCACGTCGCCGCGAATAATAAATAACATTTAAAATTTTTTTATTATTATTGTTTATCTCACTAATTGATTTTATTAGATTTATGATAGTAAAATAACTAATTCAGATATCTGATGTCGTGACCTGTTCAGCTCTTTTCTAATTCATATTAGGACACATAAATTATGTACTTTCGGAGACTGCAGTCATAACATTTCAATCATTACAATAGTATGTGTTTGTAGACAATAACTTAGATTGCGTACCATTTTGGTAAGGGTAAACCCATATGTAATATTATTGTTTTAAATGAATTTATCGAAAACCAATTGGCAATTACTGGCCAATTAGTTGTGTAGGAGCCAGTTTTTAATGATATCTGTTAAGATTAAAATATCCACTTATGACTACCTATATACTATTTAGGAGCCGATGCTATTGCTCTACAATTCTACATATTATTACAGCTTGTTTTTTATTGGAACAATGAATGGTACATAATTTTTTTTCACGATTATTTTATGTCATAAAATATAGTTACAATCATTATTGTTTGTGGTGTATTTTTTTAGCTTTATTGTTTTATAATATTGAAATGCTTAAATGGCATTTTAACTGCCCAAGTACTATTATACCACAGGTATCTACATAATAATAATATTATATAAAAAGCGCACTTGCAATGTATTATACATAATTATGTGTACTACACTACTACGTGCGAGGTAAATAAAGGTAATTATTAGAATTAGATATTATAATTTTATAGAACAGTAGTATTTTTTTATCATTTTTTGGTAATAATTATTAGTGTTGCATTGAAATCCAAGGTATTGCTACGACCAAAATAATATTACATTTTAGTATACAATAAATAATTAAACACCATGATAATATGATATCAAGTTATTAGTATTTGTCAGAAGGTAAATAATATTGATCGGCCATTTCGATGGAATATAATTTGAAAATGGATAACGAGTAAATCGTATTTAATCGAATCACCCTGTCTTTTTCCGGACACCTACCTATCTGTATGAGTGAGTATTTTAGATTCGAATCAGAATTTTCTAAAGTGCTCATTAGGCACTAACTCGGTGCATAACGAATTGCAATCTCAAATTTGCGGATCGTTAAGATTTTAATATAACATTTACTCAAATGGCAGGGGTGCTAAAGGTTCCATGCAGTTAGCCCCTCCGAACTTTAATTGTAGCACCCAAAATACTATGACAATCTTAAGACTTAAATAATAATTAAAAACCTTGGACTACAAATGGTCAAGAAAAACTATCGGACTTATCAAATATTCACATTGAAAAACATATCAAATTAAAATATCAAATTATTTTAGTAAAATATGCTGAAAACTACTGTCATTAAAATGTCTGGGATAACTATCACATACTAAGAAATAAAATAATTAGTTTTGCATAAAATGTATAATTGATTTAAATTTATAGTTAATTTGTTTTTATTATTATATATATATCAAATGTAACGAAGATAGTATGATATTTGGTGAGTGTGGGGGATCACGAATATGAAAATTAAATTTGTGTGTATAAATGATGATTCAAATCTATTCGTGTAAAATCTAATCGTGTTGCAGTTATAATATTATATATCATTAAGTGTTTACAAGATGGGATCGTTTAGTTGTCGTATTGCTTAGGTATACCCATACGAAACGGTTTTTTTTGCGGAAGTAAGTATTTACCTAATATAAGATGTGGTGCAATAATGGAGGATCCAGTGCTTGATTTGGGGGGTTGGGGGGTAGTAGGGAATGAATACAAAACAATTTACAACATCAATACTACAGTTTACAATAAGTACAATTAATAAAAACATGGTTAAAACATAGGGAAAGATATTGTGGTGGGATTGATAAAATTTAACAAATATTTATATATGTCTATTTTTGAGTTAATTTGAAGATAATTTTCTTGAAAACACTCATTATTATGAATAATTGGAATCAATTTCAGAGAGGAAATCGTAACGACTAGACGTCGATTTCGCCGTGTAAACATTTCAAGGATAAATGACTTGGCCATCCCGCGGAGAACGGCATCGAGTGTTGAACAGGCTCCTCGCAAGGTGTGCTTGAACTTAATATTATAATAATAAACATAAATACCTATATTAATCAAGGTGATTATTTTAACTGGAGAAAACTCCCGATTTCCCCAAGTTTCCAACATTTTACCAACAATTAAGCACTTATTTTTATCCAAGAATGTATACAAACAACTACTTCTCAAATTAATATTATTTTATAGTATATCTGCTTTATATTTTCAATCGTTCGTCAAAACTTGAAACATTATAAGAGGACGCCACATGAAAAATGTACAGTTTAAAAATGGTTATAACTTATTCAATAATAATAATACCGATAAAATCCTCCCGGATGCTCTAATATATTTGCCTTTAAATTTTATAAGAGGTAAGTTTCATTTAATTTTAAAAACTTCAGAGTAAAATTGTGAACATAAAATTTGCCATGTTGTACGTTTGTAAGACGGAGACAACAAATTACCGTGTGGTGTTCTCTCGAGAATTAATAGACAATTATTAAATATATTTATACGTCAAAATGTTCATAAATCTGCTTCAGATTATGAAGTTTAAAATATCGGTGGGCATTTAAAAATGATAAATTGATACTTTATAGGGGTTCGTGCAACAAAAGTATGGACGTATGGGCTATACATTTTTAGAACATTATTAAATTGCACTTCAAAAGATCATTTCGATAATATTATAGTAGTTATAAATTACAATAATTTTGGAAATGACTTATTCGCCGTTTATAAGCAATCATCCTGTGACCGCTGAAATTCAAAATGCAGTTGTCATTACAGTTGTAATTTTGTTGTCATTTTATTTTTAAATGATAACGATACGAAATAGGAACAAAATGTTGTTTTTGAACTACTTAAAATTATTATATAAAAAATGATTTAAATAAACTTTAATAGTTTTTTTTTTGCAATAATAATAGTGCTTTATCTATACGTTAAAGGAATCTTTACATGTTTTTAACAAGTTACATTAATATTTTTATAATATAATTATTAATTTTGTTTCCAGTGCAATTGTTGCACGGTACCTTTATCGATGTTGTTGCCGAGGATAGAAAGACTGTCCGTAGCTCCGAGAAGGACGGACATAGCCGAACACATTAAAACAGACGAAGACACGTTTTCGGTAGGTATTAATTTTACAGATTGCCCACCACAAACCGAACTCATGGCCAACATTTAAGTCAAACATTATTGAATATGGCCTATTACGCATATATATATATTATGCTCTAATTATTTCAACTCAATGACCTTGTATATTTTATTTGAGGTTTGCCCAGGACGTTAAAATACGAACAAATCGGTTTTTTACATTTAATACCTTCAGATTTGAAGTTTTAGGACGGTTCAAACTTCAAAGGGGTGTTTTTACCCGTTTTCCTCAAAATAATACTGGCCGTTTTCACCACAATTCTTCTTCATGAAAAGCGATAAAGGTACTGTTCCCGTACCTCGACAAAAAAGTTCCGGGAACCAATACTTTTAATTTTTAAGAAATATAAGTAGTGTTTAAACTTTAAATAGTTCAGTTACTTATATGAATTCGAATCAACCATGAAATACATGAAATTAAATTGAAATGTGTAAAATCGTACACTGTTACAAAATGTGAATTACATAATTTGTATAACTTAAGACCGTCTTAGAGTGTAATATACGTTTATTATATTATTATGCCTACTCACAATACACATACGGTAAATAAATAAACTTATAGTAAAAGTATCCTCCCCTCTCGAATAAAATATAACTGCTTCATTCATTCAGCTCAAATAATTAGTGTTACCTTAAAAATTGTACACTCAGTATTTTATTTATGCCCCGTCTTTGATGGCTCTGTACGCACGACCAACGAGATGTTTTTAATACGCTTTTGAATGAAAAATTCACATCTACAAACGGAATGCATATTTATTTATTATATTAATTGATCAGTTTTATTTAGCTTATAATTGTAAGTATACCATAATATGACCAAAAGAGTCGAGTTTTTGTTTGTAAAAATAACTATTGAAAGAATCGTGATAAATATGTCGTTAGGAGAGAAAGGTTGAGGACACGGTCTTTACTGGATAATATTGTTATGACTAAAATTGTAATCTTAAAAATATGCATGTTTTAGGTTAAAAAGTCGGCTCTCAAATTCGTCGCATCAGAAAGGATAAAACAGTTAGCAACACCACGACTGAACTCATGGGATTAGTTGTATATTTACAGTAACGTATATATTTGCAAGTTCCAACACAAGTTGAAAAATACCCATACGTATTTATCGAAAAATGAAGTGAAATATATGAGTTTTATATTATATTTTGATAAATTGGAGATTAATGTATAATTATGGATGGAAATTCTGCCATATATTTTATCTACTACAATTTGTGATGTTAAATATATACTTGACTGTATGTATGAGATAGATGAGTGTGCGTGAGTACATGAGCATTCTTGTGTGTGTGTGGGGGGGGGGGGGGGGATGCAAGATAGGGCACTCTACCTCTCCACGGTGAAAAAAATATGAACTTGTAGCTCAATAAATATTATCATGTTAAATTATTACTAAGAAAATTATTTTTTTAAATTTATTTTAAGATATGAAGTAAATGCAAATAAATACACTACTTTTTTTCAATACTTATTAAAATGTTTTTAATTAACAATATGCATGTAACAATACAAATAGCTAGAACACGCATATTTACATTTAAATGTGAAAATAACTTAAAATTTTTATTTTCTTAATTCAAGAATTTTTTATTTTGACCCTCCCTAAATTGTATTTATTGGTACCCATGCAGTGGCGCCTATCACCTAGCTTATTTATGACATTATTCATAGTACGAGTAGGTTTTAAAGATGGGTGAGCACTGTAGGGTATTGCGGGGGGATCCAACTGTGGATCCAGAATATACGTTGAAACGTAAAAATAAATGATTAAACATTGCATTATTGTATGGGTGCTTCGATTTGCATCAATTAAACAAAGGGGGATGATGGGGGGCCCATCTCGATGTCATAGTTTATTTTAAGCACTCTGCCGCCACTGCGCCCATGTATGTGTGTATGATGCGTGTATGCATGTGTGAATGCATGTATGAGTAAAAGGTGAATGTATACCTATGTGTAACGTATGCTTTAGCGAGGTGTTTATTCATATATGATTATATAATATGCTAACTGCATCTATTATATGTGTGTATGTAGATATATTCGTATGCGAGTCCGTAAGTAATATGTATGTATGTATATATGTAAGCTATATAATATGTTTGGATGTGTGTGATGCGGTATGTATGTTGGTATGCTTAAATTTTCAATGGATTGAGGCGATATAATATATTAATATAGTATTGTATTTTTTTTTCTTAAAAGGGGAAATAAAAGGGATGGCAATGTATTTGATTGGGGAGGGGTATAATATATGTCAGTAACGTGTCGTGTCGGGTGGCGCCTGTGACGAGTGACGAGTTTATATGTTGCAGGTTGTCTATATTGAGTAATTTATACTTGATTCGGAGCTTCGGAGGTATTTGAGAGGAGAGTGTTCTGCGTATTGCCTATACAAAGGAGCCCATTATTTTACATGTAAAATTGAATGGCGATGAGATCTAGAAGCCCCCAAATCATTCTATTTCTAAAATACATTTTTTTTTAATATTTCGGTTTTGTAAAAATAGAAATAAATCTCGAGTTAAAAAAAATGTTTAACGAACATTTCAAATTTTTAGAATATTCTTTATTGAGTCTGTCTCATTATGATGTTGTATAAATGTATTGGGCGTGTGTCTGAAGTCATCGTCTTTTTAAAGGGGTAAAAATGTTTCAATTTTCAACTTTGAATATGGTTTGCACTTTGGCGGGTCAAAAGTAAAAAATTGTATTAGTTAGCTGTTTACTAGGTGTTGAGTATATTACCTCACACAGAGAAGGCCACTATTACAGTGCTATTATATGACCATATAGTGCCCATTATGGGTATGTTAAATTGTAATTCAACGATAAATCATGTTGCATACGAAAAACGATTCTGAACGGAGACAGACTACGGAGTAAGCCTAAATATCTAAGGATATTTTATTATGTATTTATATTGCTATGAGTAATTTATTTTGCCATTAGTATAATACGGTAGATTAAACTACTTATTTTTTCTAACAACCAATCACATACATTATACACGAACTCAAACACTCAATACTGCAATAGTGCATTGCATTTATACAAACTACAAACATTAACTCCATACTCCATACTTCTATAGTACTTATATAGCTACTAAAAACATAATGAATAGTTTAGACCTAATTGATAAGTGATAAAATGATAAAAGTTATAACTTAGTCACTAAAGTGGATTAAATCTGAATAAAATTCTTATTTTAAGTTATTAATTAAATAAAAAATATTTTTTGTTTTAAAACTCGTTAAAAAAAATTTAAATGTAAAATCTAGGCAGATTATTTTGAATTTTTAGTGCATAAAATATTTTTTTGGGAGAGGGCCGATGTTTTATTTTTTGAGGTCATTACATTCTCAGATATACTTATTATAATCGCCAAAAAGTAATTTTCAAACTACGCCAATTAACTTTGGGATAAATCATTCGTTTTATCCCAACCAATATCGTATTAATGAGTTCTTTAGATAAACATTATCAATTCTTGCTACGTATGTTTAAAAAAATATTATTATTTTTTATAATTTCATTATTTCATTGAATAAGAGTGATGGGGAAAAGAAGAGTGAAATTAGTAATTTTGAAGTATTTAAAATTCAGAACACTTATCACGACTAATAAACATATATTACAATAATTTATTGGTCAAAGTGGCGTAGTGAAAATTGCATTATTATATTATTATGTGCGCTGATTTTAAATAAAATATTCAGGGCGAGTCCGAGTCTAACCGTATAGTTCGTCCGGAAATTGAAGTTCTATTTCAGTGTCAATATATAATGAACGAAATTCAAAACACCTAATTGCTGCTGGGTGACCAAAATTAAAATCTACGTCACGTAGTTTTTACCATATTATGTATACAACGATGAACAATTTTACGAGTTACACGCTACACCGGTGACGTATCGATGCCCTGTTGGACTGAAAAAAAAATCATCATGAAAAATCCCTTATTTATATGGGACGGGCAGTTCTGCAACTTTGTTTTATTTTTGTTGGATTACATTTGTCTGCAAAAGTGCGCAGTGGTGAGAAGTAAATAAATTAACGTCTGTATCGACAACTGCAAAAAGCCCTCGAAGGGGGAGGAAAAGTGATTAATTCCAAAAAAAAAAATTTAACTCAAGCAACGTAATAATAAATTGTGCCTTCATATTATATACTGTGTTACAGGTGTATGAGAATTCTATGGTTAATCTATGAGGTTGAAGATACTTGTATTATAGTTGCCGCTACAATGACTATTGAGTGTACTTAATATTTGCAGTTTTAAATAATAATATCACTTACATTAAATTAAAAAGTAATTCGTATTTCCCGTATTATTAATATTACTATTATTATAAATGTTTATAATATAATAATAGTATACATAAATAATAATTAGATTTTACTACCAGTCGGTAAATCAAAAAATATTGACCATAAATGAATAATACATTAATAATTACAATAATAGTATATAATAGTTTTTACTTTGTACCATATTATAAACCACGAAGAAAGAATTCACGAGTTACACGCTACACCGGTGTGACGTATTGTGGCGCTGGTCCTGTCGGACTGCTAAAAAAATCACAGTAAAAAATCCCTTATTTATATGGGATGGGTAGCTTTTGCAAATTGATTTTTTTATTGGGGTACATTTCTTTTTCAAAGCGCCACTTGATGAGAGATAAATAAATTAACGTCCATATCGATAACTATAACATTTTGTGAAATGGTGAGGGGGTGAGTATTTAGTATCTACTAAATGTTTGGAATCTTACTCAATATAGTTAAAAGTAATTCGTGAATTATTAATATATATTTTTTTTATTGAGTTAAGGCTTCAACTTCTAGGTTGACTCAAAATAAATCCTTTTCCCTGTGATGTTTTTACGGATTATGTGTAATTAGTGAATTAGTCCCCCAACCCCCCCCCCCCCCCTATTTGCGCCAATTTATAATATATTTATAATAATTAAAATAATAATTGTACACATAAACACATCGCTAAACTATGACTTGTGCATTGATAATTACACATAATCCGTAAAAAACATCACACGGGAAAGGATTTCATTTGAGTAATTAAATTTTTAAATATTATTTTTGTGATTTGATAGACTTGGGAAAATGTATTTTTAGCTAAAAATAGGATTACATTTTACAGAGTGCTTAAAAGGTTTTTTTATTTTTTTAAACAAGCAATTTTGTATAGAATTGAAATGGCTCTAAAAGTGTACATTTTCACAACAATCGATGTTTAATATAAAATAAATTTGAAAAATAGCCTTTTAGCCGAGTGATGTAGTATGTTTAACATTTTACAATAAAAATAGCTCCTAAATCTGTTCAGTAATGACCGGCTCAAAATGAAATTTAAATACTGCTGTCTTCCTTTATACATAATTCACAATTATCATAAGTAGGTAGGTAATAATTACGCCTAATGGTAATTTAATAGTCAAAACATAAATATAACAAACATGGTAAAAGGTTTTTAAGTTAAACAACACCAAGTAAACTAATAATAATTATAAAAATAATAATAATATAAAATATAAAATATAATAAAAATTATTTCACATAAGAAAAAAAACATCATCAACAGAATTTCAGATGCACTCAATACTAATATTAATTATTATATGCATAAAATATATTGAATCAAAAAATTATAATACAGTTTTGTATATTTTTTCATGAATAACAGAAACCTTATTCTCCATTTTAAAACTGAACAGTAAAGTTGAAGTAAATAATTTATCACATTTTGATTTACAATTTGGTATAATGAACCAAACTATCGGGATGCAATATTTAGGGGCAATATTTCAAAATATCGTAATTAGGTTTTAAATATTGAAAAAATGAAAAGATATCGTATAGTGTGCTGTTAAAATATCAAATTTGTTGTATCAAAACGCACGTCAAATGGTGTTTTTAGATGAGTAATAATAATTATTGTTACACAACGTACTATTTCCATACGTGACGCTTGAGCAAAACGAATTATTTGCAAATTACAACAAAACCTTGTATTTTCCATGGTAAATCTATTTTTGGTATTAAAAAAAAAACGCGCCAAAACTCACTAAATCTTTATATTATTACAAAATTGTATTCGGTACGACTTGGATCTATTTCTACATCTCGCAAAAACGAGCTTTGTCTTATACTATAAATATAGCTAGCGAAATTAAAGTAATCACAGAGTTCCGGTTGTCTTTACTTTATTTAAATGCATATTATTATTAAGCTTTTCTATATTTGGTATCAAATTTATCCATCAACGTTAATCGAGTAAATTAATTTGAATAATTATTGATTTACTTACTTCTATTTATAGGTACTATTATTTTCTTTTATAAAGCCTATTATATTGACATAGTAAGTTGCGCCAAAAGATGGTCAAGGTTTTTAATTTGCACACACTCGTATTGTAATAGCAACTACTCAAATTTCGACTAAAAATTGCACCTCAATAATTATATTACCTATTATAATAACTATACACTATACAAAATATTTGTTCTAACTTTTGTTCCTCCTTCAATCAACTCGTCAAGTCTTGTAAATGTTTTGTACTTATATATATATATATATGTATATATTTATTTATTTATTTATTTACCTATTACTTATTATATTTGCTTATACAGATTATATGTGTAATCATATTTTTAATTAAAAAACTTTTTTTAATCCTTTAAAATCTTACAACATTTGGTGTATACTAATGTTTTTACATTGAAGTGTACAAATGTGTAACACAGATGTGTTAAACAACTTTTTATATTTTATATTTTTAGAAGTTATTAAGATTTTGGGAATAATCGAATAATACAATTTATTATTATACGAGTACGCTGTAATTTGGACATTCGAATGTTATAAATATTACAAAATGTATCTTTTGTGTTAATTATATTATTAACTTATTAATATAGGTAGGTAGTTAAGAAGTGTCCATTTCACAAAAAAGACAAAATGGCTGGAAGTTCTTATACTTTTTTCTTTGTTAAACGGTTTGAATGATAATAAAAAAATTCAACCCATCAACCTTAATACAAACGAATAAGGTAGTAGATACATCAATGTATAGAATACAGATATAGGTACTACTATTGTAGTCTGTAGTCAGTAAAAATACTGTAGTAGTCGCGCACATTCGACCATTTTATAATTTTTGTGTCAAATCGTTTTAAAAAATTACTTTTACTAAAATATTATTTAATAACATTTATTTACTGTACCTGTTGTTGTAATATTACAAGTAAATAATTTGCGAGTAGACATAATGTCTATAATATCAAAATATAGGTATACCTACGTATAAATTATACATTAACATTTTATTTATTTATCTTTATTATTGTTACGTGTTTACTACTATGTTTCACATTAAATAATGTTCAACAGCTGTAATCACTTGTTGTTTAAATTTTTTATTAATTTGATGAATGTACTTATTGAATACCTACTGAATTTGTGAAGCATTTTATTAGACTGATTATTATTTATTAGGGCTAGAATTTATATGCAACACAAAATTCAAAAATATTCTTTTTTCTACCAAAATGTGCAAACCCCTTCTTGTTATTTCTACATAATGTGTAATATTTTTACATACAAATTGGTAACTAGTTCAAACAAAATTTACTAATTAATAATAGCTTATAGTTTATTATTTATTCCTTATTATAATTATTATTTATTTTAAGTAGTTATTATTACATCAAATATTGCTGCAAAGATAGGTATTATGTTTTTTTCAAAATTTAAAACATGAATGACCGATGATTGGAACGAAGAATGAATTAACATTGACTAACACTTGTAGAACAAATAAAAATGTAAAATAATGTACAGTTAATCCTTTCGGTCAGATAACAAGATAAGATTTTATAGTAAATTTACGACAGTTCGGAAAAATAACTCAATAATAAAATTATAGATGTTCATTAAATAAAAACCATTTAAAATGCATGCGATTTTCAAAAATCAAATTACCCAAAAATATTAAAAACAATATTGTTCTACCGAATCCATATGGTGGACATATCTGATAACTAGGGAACGGATTTTATTGTAATAAAAAAATCAAAATATGTACATAAATATGTACTTATTTTTATTGAAATATGTAAAAAAATAATCAAAATATGTAATAACCACTTTTTTTTTTCCCGTTTGAACCGACAGCAGAGGAGGATCTGTATGAACACTACTACTCCTCTCTGCAATGTAATAACCACTTAACAGAAAAAGTAAGAATAAAAATCATATATCTTATCTAATTAATAATTATTAAAACAATGTGAAACTACATAATCTCTAAGATTTAAAAACGTAAGATGGCGGCGATTTGGTCGTAAAATGTTTTTGTATTGACTGAATGAACGTTCCATATCAACTGACGTAATGATAGCATACCGATTTTCACAACACTTACAGTATAGAACTTTCCCACCACTTTGAAATGTTTCATTCGGAAATTCTTTTAAATATGCGGCTACCTTATTATTGATTGAACTTACAACTTAAAGCATTCTAAACAATTTTATAAAAAAAACAACAAAATTTCGATGTAAATATGAAGAAAAAAACGATGCAAATAATTACGCCCGCCAGAACAGTAACTAGACATACACTGAAGACCGTAAAATTGAATAAACACGTTACTTACCCACTTGTCCACAGTGTATAATACGATAGCAGTGTATAAAGTACGTAAGTCCATTTAGAGAACGTATATAATGTTCATCGTCATTGAAAATTACAAATATTATTATTTTAGGCTTTCATCGACAGCGTATAACATTTATTAAGATAAGGCAAATAATCTTTGACGTCGTTTTAAATTGACGAAAAAAACCAAAAATACCCAAATATTTACGAAATATTCAGTTATTTACAAAATATGCGAATATATGTATTTTTACCCAAATATGTAAAAATATGTAAAATAAAATTGGGCTTATTTCAATAAGAATGATCAGAATCGTGCACATTTTTTATCAGATTAAAAATATCTCATTCCAATAAAAATATGTATTTACAATAAAATCCGTTCCCTGCTGATAACCAATAAATCTGGACCAAGGGAAAAAACTTGCAAATGCATAGAAATCCTTGCCCTATAGTAATATTTAATTTAATTCGATATATGCTTAATATTTTCTAACAACCAGGAATTTAGGAAGCTGTCAATATGTGTTTCTGCATACTGGTTTATTAAGTATGCATATTATGCATAATAGAATAATCATGATAGTAATAATTCATTCTAATAATTATTGTGATTCATGAAATCATAAATTGAATTTGTTCCTGTATAATTTAAGATACTTTTTACGTCGGATATTTGAACAAATATTATTGATAAGAAATTTTTAATTTCTCAACCGAACACTTGTTGAACACTTACTATCACAATAAGTTTCTATGAATTACGGCCGAAATGTTTTCCGAAATAGATGATTATAATATTATGTCAACATAATATAACAGCGTGTACATTTGATATCGCTCTTAAAGACGTTTAAGAATAATTATCGTTGTTTTGTGCATTCCTGAGGCCCGGGCATCATTGTTTAGACAACCTTAAACACTAACCGCTTTTGGTCATTATGCAACCGATGTCCCGGTGTTGTTGCAGTTGCACGTTGTCAGGTGTCGTCGATTGCAAGAAGATAACAAGGTCATGTTCGTGTTTTCGAAGTCTCCCGTAAAACCAAATCATTTGACGGTTCTTTGGCCGTAGGTATATAAACGACAGCTTTTGTCTTTATGAGCATAATCTGACTTTAGTTTCTCACAGCCCGTCAACGCAAAAACCAAATAGTAATACTCAAACAGCCAAAGTTATAATATACTTTATTATTCAACTGTAAACAACACGACGGCGATCGAAGATATCAGATATGAATTGTATCCAAGTAAGTGATTATTGTTCATGCGTATAATAAATATTTATAAATTCGTTAAATTAATTTTGATATTGTAATCGTTTTCGAATATGATTGGTAGATATGATATATATATGTATAGAATAAAAAAACATATAACAAGCTTCGAGTATAAATTTAATATTTCAATTTAGGTATAAAAACGTTCATCAATTATTTTTTCTTAAATATTAAATATTCAATACATTTTTTTCGATGTTTAAAACCCCGAATTATCGAGCCGATAATGGCCCGTAGTTAAACCACGAAGTGTTCTATACTCGTGCCACTGAGAGAGGGCTACTCTTTCGAGCATCAAATGACCGAGCTCCGCGTTTTTGTACCAAAATTTCTCCCATTCTACCAACTACCGGTAGGTTTAGTGATGGGAATGCGAGAGATCCGACAAGTTTTGGTCGCCGCCCAGTAGCGCTCTCTTAGAGGCACAAGTATAAATATTATTTTATAATAATATATGAAGGGAGGCAAATTATGTTGTCTGGGGTTGGACTTGGCCTTCCTAGCCCGTCCATAAATTCCAAAAGACTTGCACGAGGTTCACTTATTTAATATTTCAGTGTAACCATTGAATAATGTTTATTAAATTATAAAATATTATTATATAGGTACCTGGTTATTAAACCTTCAGGACGTAATTTTTTAGTAGATAGGTACTACGTTTTTTTGTACTTTTACTATACTTAAGACTTTTTTTCCAAATCGATCTCTGAAGTATTGTTTGTATGTATTTCAGGTATGTTTGGTGTTGGTGGTGAGTTGCACAATGTTGTCTTCTGCTGATTCGGCGTCGTACAAGTTTGGATACAGCGCTAACGACCTAGGTACAGTCGAGCTGGATGCACCTGCACTAGATTTAGTCAAAGACTGCGACCCACTGACGTCCAGTTACCTGGTCACCGGTTCCACTCCAGCGCCGATCATGCGCACAGCGGTCGAAATCGAACCTGCACGCATCATGTCCGTGACCCCGTTGCCGATCCAATCCACGGTCTCCGAGGTCATCTCCGTGTCCACCCCGGCACCGATCCTGCGCACCGCGATTGATATCGAACCCACCCGCATCATCAACGCCGCTCCAATGAAGTTGGAGACCAGGATCGCGGCTAGCCCACTGTTGAACGCTTTCCGTTCATCAGCTTTTGACTCCAGCGCGTGGCAGGCCAATCCGGAAAATGCTTCTCCGGCCCCAATTGCCTTGAAGACGATAACCAAAACCACGAACGTTGGATCCACAATCATCAGTTCGGAATTGGAAGATATGCCAGCTGTCCGCTCTCAATACGCATTAGCCGCCCCGCAAGTCGAGTCCAGGATCGTACATAACTCTGCAGCTCCGATTGCAAGAACGTTGTCCACCCAAGTCTTGCCCTTGCCATCCGTGTCATCATCGTACGCGTACTCCCCGCGGACATACGCCTCTTCATACATCAACTCGTACACCGTACCTCAATACTATTCAACCTCGTCCAAATTTTTAGCTGCTCCCCAATACTATCCGTCTGCTGCATTCATCGCACCTCAATACTACTCGTCTGGCTCAGCTTTCGCTCCCCAATACTACTCGTCTGCTGCATCCATCGCCCCTCAATATTATTCGGCCGCACCCCAATACTATTCATCCGTATCGGTAGCCGCCGATGAACCGTGTGACAAATAGACTTTTTGTCTGTTTTAATTGTATACAATATAACCACCAAAAATTATTTTTTTTATGTCATTAAGAAAATGAAATAAATAATTAAATGTAATTTACAACTGAACAAACATAATTTTTAATATTTACCTAGGTAGGTACCTATTTTTCAAAAAGTGCTTATGTAAGGTAGTTTGATGAACTGCTGCCACAATCTCTGGAGCGATTACACAAACACCACATTTGAAATAAAGAAAACATCATTGAAGTTGGTAAAATTTTTTTTCGAATAAAGCTTGGTTTCTACATAGGTTACAAAACATTCGTAAGACTTAAATTTCGTAAAAAATAGGATTTTTAAGATTTTGAATGATATACCTAATGGTTGTAGTAGAATATGTAATTAATTAACGTTGAATACAATTGTCAGTTATACGATATCACGGAATACTTAGTATGTTAATGATCGTTAGTGAGATCAGTAAAATTTAAAAATGCAGTGATTAATAATTAATTGCATTCTGCTGGTCGCTTTCCTAGATTTGTAAAAAATAAATTACTGGATTGTGTCCCAGATTATGCATTTTTATAATCTCTATTGAGTACGTTGGATACGATTATAGGTATTAATACATAAAAAACAGTTTTAAACCAAAATAGTATGTACTTATGTGATAGTTTAGATCAAGAAAATTTCACAATTATATTTAACTTGAACGAAGGCGTGTGTCGTTCAACTGGTCTTTAAATTGTAATCGCTTATTTTGCTGTTAATTAATTAATTTTTTCGGTACCAAACATCAAGATAGCTTATAGCAAGTTTTTTTATTATGTATGATTTGTAATCATTCACTGCAAGATCATAATTTTAAAACTGTTCAGCCACTTTTTAAATATATACAAGGTGATTCACTAAGTATGTTCATTCCTCTTCCTTTTTTCTCCTTCAATAATGTAGTTATTCGAAATCTGATTTTTGGGATACTTAATATACCTAAAAACGATATTTTAAAATTCTAAAGATTTTTTGAGCTAAGTTAGGAGTGTCCTGTATGTATACAAACTTCTGTTTGTAAAATTAAAAAACCCACTAACTGTTTTCTTATGTAAATTATTTAGCGGATAATTTTTATAAAAAAAATGCTGACGTATCAAAAGCAAAATTCAAACGATTAGTTTTTGAGTAACTTATATTTGTATACTAAAGAATAATAGGTATATGGGTTTGAAAGATATTGTGATTTCAAAATGTTAGTGATTAGGTAATAAAATAATAAATACTAGATCCAATAATACATATACTTTATGTTTTTTTAATGCCATTTTTAAAGACTATTACTGTTATATAAATATTTTAACTACTCGATCGAATTTTTAATTTAGTGCTTCAACATTTATTTTCAGAAAAATTATTCACTAATAATGCATTTACGGTAAAAAGGGAGATTCTCATTTAAAAAACAGAAGTTTGTATTACCACAAGCATTTAAAATATAGTCTTAACTTCTCAAGTAAATTTATAAAAAATTCCAAAACTCTGATTTTGAACAGCTAAATTATGGAAGGAAAAAGGGGGTCGATCATGTTTGGTGAATCATACTGTATAATACGAGTATAAGCTTAAAGTGACAAAAAATAATTTTTGTTACTTAGCTATTTGGTTCTTAAAAATGTTGTAATATTATTTATTAAGTGCAATTTTGTTTAGTGTGTCCAAATTTATAAGCTATATTTTATTTTTTGTCTTACATTTTTGGCACATCAAACGCATTATCTGTTAGTAACGGATTTTAGTTTAAGATTAAACATGTCAACTTTTCACAAATCTATACTATACGTTTTTGCCTTCTAAAAATGACTGATCTCTCTTAAAGTTTCTTAGCTATTACTCATTCGATTTTATTTATCCTCGATTCACACAGTAGCCAAAAACTGACGCATAATAATATTATTATTTTATGAAAGAAAAAAAAACACACACATAATTATATTTATGTGTGTATACATTTTTTTTTTTAAGTTACCAGCCGGGTGTCAAAACTCAAAACAAATAAAATAATAAGTGTATGATGAACAATTATTTTAATTTTGAACACTCATAATAGTATGTACATGTATACCTAATTGACTTAAATTATTTTTTAATAAATTCAAAGTGAAGTTTTGATTAATTAGTTAATTTTTTTTTTTAATTTGAATTTCTGAAGTATACATTTTTTGTAGAGCCGGCCAGGCTTCCGAGGCAACCAATCAAAACAGAGCCTGGCATTAAACATGACGAGAAGTCCAAAATAAACAAAGTGGCCGAGGACAAATCAACAAACTCGAATTTTCGTGAATCATATCATATTTTACGATCGATTTAATATATTAGTGGTGTACCTACAGTGTACAAACGATGATTATTATAAAAATATGATTTATACTGATTTCTTGCTTGACGTAGATACCACTCCATACTCTACGCCGACATCAAAGGACAAAGATACAAACCAAACATCAAACTATTATTATAGTGGGTGGTGAGAAGGTAGTGTTTCTATTACCTATATTAAATTAAATATCAATGACGGTTAAAATGCATATTATTATCGCGGGATTCGTATTATCATATTATTATTGCATGGTTAGCAAGACCGAATAAAGTAGGTATGTTATGTAAATGGCCTTTTTTTTCCATTCCATTCAATATATTTACAAACGGTTAGATAAACATTTTTTTTCTGAACTGTTCATTTTCTTCGAAATATAACCTTCACAATCTAAAATAAATATTTTAAAAGGTAATATGATACAGCTATACAACTTTTTACAATAGGCAAATGTATACATTTGATTACCATTCACTACTCCATATTATATTATATAACATACATGTATAATGTATACGCATATTATTACAATTTATTTAGATATGTAAGTAGGTACTTTTCTTAAATCTGAAATGTCTACCCATAACTACCACAGCTTCGATTAGTGTCTGACGAAGTATGTAAGCTAGTGTATACGACTTGTACATGTATTTTCCTATTTTTGATTCTGAAAATGATTAAATAAAATAAAAGATATATCAAAATGATTATTCTTCAAATATATTTTTAAATAATACGAGAAGGTAAATGTTCAAAATGCAGTTCTCTAAAATGTTCCAAATTATTATAAACTAATAAAAAAAAAAATGGTAATAATACTTTGAACCATGCATATCTTAATACACAGATATTATTTTTTATTCTGTGTAAATTTTTTTTTTATAAATTCTGGTGGTCGTTTTTTTTGTCAATTTCATATTGGTTTATCTTTATTTTAGCACTTTTTCTCATCGAAAGTAATTTTCAGCTCAAGTCATCAAGATGCTCCGTTGTCAGTATTTTAGAATACGTCAAAAGCTGTTAAGCCGAGTCATCACAATCAATAAAAAATTACATCATAATAATAGTATGGACAATTTTTCAGGATCTGTCAGTACCACCTAGGTATAATATTATATTCAATAAGTCATTACGATATCTTTATATAATTATATAAATAGAGCCGAATCTTTCACAAAACTCACATATTAGTATATTATACTATACAGCAATTTAATTTCATTGTGTAACCAACAGTCATTGGCTAGGTGTTTTTTTTTACAATAATTTCAAGTAATTTAATTTAATTAATAGTAATGGATTATGGATACGTATATATTTTAAAATATCACATAAGTCCACCAACATTTTGTCAGGTTCCGACCTCCATGCGTATCTTCACACTGATTATCTTGAACTAAATGAAAAATTGAGGGCAAGTATACCATTTTTTTTTATAAGTCCGGTGACTGACCATGAGCTGTTTGTAGGGTAATTGTGGTAGTGGTAGGGTTTGGTTTGGTGGGTTTTAAAACGTTTGTGTTTGGCAGAATTTCGATTGAGCACCCGTAGGTTTCTGCCATGCCCAGTCGGAAGATGCCTCTCTCTCTCCGTACAGGTGTCTGCCCGGTCTGTCCTAAGAAAAGTGCCACACTTAACCAAGGTTCGGACCCTTGACGGTGCGCATTACAAGTTACAACCGATGCTTTAGTCCGCTGTCCACTCCGTCCCCAACCATTTTATTTTCGACAAGCTTAAGTGTTATCCTAAAAAAAAAGTTAAGCGTCATGTGTACCATTCTTGGTACACTGTTGGTTACCGATTCGAGCCTACCTTAAAAGTAGGGACATGCCTTATATTTTGCTTAAGACCTAAAACTTTATAAAAACGTTTTATACTTTTATTTTAGTTTATTATGTGATTATAAAATGTTAAAGTCCGAATACATTTTAAAATAAAATTATTTTAAGTTAGAAATTCATAAAAAAATTTCTTTTCGTGTCCCACATTTTAAAATTTGGTACAATATTCCCTATACGTTTGTCTATATTAATAAAAAAAAAAAAATTCTACCAGAAAGTCAAATTCAATTTTTATGAAGTTCATGAATCTTATGAAGTTGAATTTTTTACAACATTTGGATATTCACTCCATTCCTCATAATATAGCGATTTCTTATTTTGTTGTAATATAAAAACGAATAACGGTACCACTTGAAATGTACACCATATGTTAATATTATTATATTAATATACTTGATGCAATTTTCAAAATATTTTGACTCGTTTTGATCTATTTATGGATGTTTTCAATTTGAACCGAGCAATAAGTATTTGATATATCAAAGGTAAACTATTAATATTATTATATAGGTAATAAATAATAATAATGCCCAAATCCGACAGTAGATAAACACAATAATATGTTACATTTTGTCTCAAATGATTTTGAAATTTGAAATTTACTTTTTTAAATTTTGCTGTAATTTTGAACACCTTAGTATAGAAACCAATACATTTCAATTCTTTTAGTTTTTTTTTTCTAAGGTTGTCAATAAAATCGTATTTGTTTCGTCAAAATGCTTGAAAATTTAATAAAGACTACCTACTACTAACCACCTATTTGAGATACGACGTAAGTCCATAAAAGGCAATTCTGAGAAAACAAAAAAAA